TGTTGGTTCTAGGTGTTGGTTCTAGGTGTTGGTTCTGGATGTGCTGAGCTACAGGATGCTGCTCGTTGTCTTTATTTTGTATTTTGCGCTCTTTTCCATTTCTGAGGAGCATCAGACCTTCTCCTCTGTTGGATCCATTCATCACCTGAATCTGCCGGAGCTGTTCTGTCTGGGTCCTCTGAGCAGTTTCTGGTTCTGAGAGTCCCGTTTGTGCAGATACTGAACCTGAAGCTGGTTTCAGACGTGACTCACCCACGTTCCCCACCACAGCCGTCAGGTTGTCTCTGGTGTTCGGAGAGACGAAGGACCGGAGTCTGTCCAGCCGGCCGCCGTCTCTGGAGATCACGGCCACCTTAAAACCTTCACACACACGACAGAGTGCGTTAATCTGCAGCTCAGACTCACAACAAACCCTCAGACAGGAGAACATCGACACGTCTGCTCCGGCAGCAGATGGAGACTCTGAACAGGATGGAACCAAGATGGAACCAAAAAGTGAAATCACGCTGCGACTGTAACCTGTGGCTGTCCATGGTGATGATGAGACAGTTTGTTGATCAAAACATCGACAGAAGAAAACTCAGACATGACGGAGAACAACTAACGCTGTAAAAACCACGAACAGCAAAGAAAAAGAAAAAGGCGAATGTTAAAGAAATGATGGAAGACATCAATGCAGACAAAGTTAGAAGACAATGAACTAAATGCAGATATCTGTTACAAACGGATGATTCTTCAGTCAAACATGATAAAAACAGACCTTCTATGTGACTTTATTTATTTACAGCTTTGCTCTGTTTTCTGTCGTTTTGTTTTGCAGTCGACCTGAATTCATTCTGTCAGTTTGTGATTTTACTGGATTTTATCTGTAATTTAATTTTTCAGTTCCGTGCTTTTCTTTGTTGTTCACCAGATTTACGGTCAGAACTTTGCTGTTGTGGTGCCTCACTGCAGAAGAATTTGTTATTATTCATGTTTTTCTGTGTTTTATTTGTCAGCAACAAAACAAAACTTAAAAATCTGTAAAATAAAAAAAAGACTAAATATTTCTTTAAACATTTTTTTTTTTACATCATATTAAAAAAGAAGCATTTTAATGAATTAAAAATAATTAATTGTGTACAAATGACAATTCTACATGTTTTACACACACACACACACACACACACACACACACACACACACACACATATTTAGTTATTTATGCTTTGATTCGTTATTGTTAAATTTTGTTAAAGTCAAGATTTAAACGAAGCCTTTCCCTCCCACCAATATTAATAATCTCTCTATCCATCCATCTGTCCATCCATCCATCTATGGCTGACTTGGATTCGTTGGGTTTTTCTCTTTAACATAACAAAGTGACGGTTTTGGGTTAAAAACATGAAGGCTCGGGACAGATAGAAGCTGGACGGAACCGGAGAGGCTCGCTGCATTATTTGACATGATATGTAGAACTTCTTGATTTGTTTACAGGATTTAAGACATTTCCACCTCAAACTGACGCAGAAAAGGAACAAGTTGGTGCGTAAAACTTGACCTGAACGCAAGAAATGAAGCGTGCAGACGCTTTGACTTGTTTCCCCCGCTGAGGGAACTTCGTGGAGAAAACTGTTCAGGAGCTCGAAACCCGATGAAGATCTTTCAGATGGAAGGAAAAGGAATGCTTTTTAAAGAGATTTAAGCTGGAGCTGGATTTTACGCGCAGCTACAAACTGCTTCTGATTTGGCAGATCGGTGGCACATTGGTTTGTCGTTTATCAATTAAACCCCAGAAAAGCTTCGTCAAGTATGAAACACGCACAAAGTAGTCAGAGAATGTCCAGAATGCGGTTCGTCGTCATGCAGCTCCTTGTGCGTAAAATCCACCAGACGGACACCTGCGCGTAAAACTGCGCGCAAAGTATCCGGACTGATCTGGACAAAGTTCTCCACGTTCCTCTGACTGAAGCGGTGTGTTTCTGCTCTCCTCCGGTGTCGCCCGGTGTCTTACCTTTATCCAGCAGCGCTTTGACGATCCCAGAGCCCACCGTCCCCGCTCCCCCCAGCACCAACACGACCCTGTCCGAGTTCGACATGCCGACCGCAGCTGCACAGACCTGCCGGAGGAAGAAGGGCGGAGGAGCAGGAGCAGGACGCTGCGAGGCCGCTGGCTTGTGCGGAGCATCTTGGCCGAACTGGGACGCTTTAAAGTGAAGTCCCGGGCCGCGGGTCCGCCCTGTTCCCGGTGTCACTGAAGCCACGCCCACGTGTGACGTCAGAGGCTCCGCAACGAGTTTGTGGTAAAACTGTAAAAAAAAAAACAACAAACACGTTTTTATCTGTAGTTTAACAAAAGCTGATCAAAATCAAATGTATGTCACACACACACACACACACACACACACACACACAGTGGTACACGGTACAGAGTCCAGTGTTCTGTGTACCTGATCCCACACAGAACCAGGCAACAGAACATCTGCTGGTGTTTAATATGTTTGTGGTGAAGTCCAGATAAGAACTCATAAAGTCACAGAAAAAAGATGTTAACACTAAAAACATTACATAGAACTATTATATTATTGTCTTTATTATATATATATATAATATCCACCACAGAAACGTTTACAAATGATCTTTTTCTTTATTTTAATGTTTGACCAAAAGTTGTTTTCATTTATCAACGAATATGTTTTACAGACATTTTCCATCTAAAATCAAAGTTATGTTGATAAAGTGTGACACATGGAGGATATATTTTACTTTATATTTTATAGATGTTCCTGTTTTGCTGAGTTACTGATGAGCTCATTAAAATCACAAAGAAAAATATTAATTTATGTGAGGACTGTTAAAAAATAGTCATTTGTTTTTCCTTTTGTTCAGTGTGTGACCCCGGTGACACGAGTTTTTATTTTTAACTATTCCATCATTATTTAACGTGTATCAGGTTGTTTTATCTCTTTATCCTTATTTACCTTCATTCAGGTGTGTGTGTGTCTTTTTCATGCTGAGTCAACATTAAAACCAGTGAAGTCATTAAATGAAACTTTCTGGCCTTAAAGTCATTAAAAATGATCAATAAATATTAAAGTGAACTCTTCAGCTGGTTCACCTGCGTTATATTATATTATATTATATTATATTATATCGGGCTGCAGGTGGTTCAGTGGTTAGCTCCGTTAGCACCGTTAGCACTGTCGCCTCACAGCTAGAAGGTCGCCGGTTGGCGTCCCGGTGAGGACACCCGGGATCTTCCTGTGTGGAGTCTCCATGTTCTCCCCGTGCAGCGTGGGTTCTCTCCGGGTTCTCCGGCTTCCTCCCACAGTCCAGAAACATGCTGAGGTTAATTGGTGATTGTAAATTGTCCGTAGGTGCGAATGTGAGTGTGCTTGGTTGTCTGTCTCTAAGTGTAGCCCTGTGATAGACTGGTTACCTGTCCAGGTGAACCTGCCTTCACCCTGAGTCAGCTGGGATAGGCTCCGCCCCCCATGACCCTGGTGAGGATGAAGGTGTAGAGATGATGGATGGATTATATTATATTATATCATATTTTATTTTATTTTATTTTATTTTATTTTATTAATAGGTCTGTTCACTGGAGGGGAGGCTGCGGGGAAACTGCGCCATCTAGTGGATCAAACTGCACACTGCATGTTGATTAATAGTTGCTAGCTTTCTGTCTCTTTCCTTCTTTTTTAATTATCGGTTTTATTTGCGTTTCTATCCAGTATTTTGATGTTTGCAGTCACCTTCGTCGGTCTAACTCCGCCCCTGCGGCCCGTCCTGCCGCAGCCACCGAGCGCTCCCCCGGAGCTGGAAACCCCGTGCCACGTGACAATGTTTACTTTATTCCGGACAATCGAGCCGCGCGAAGACGCCTGTGCGACCGGACATGTTGGCCTCGGCTCCCCGGTGAACACCTGAACCAGCAGCAGGCACAGGTGAGCCCCGTGTGTGTCCGGTGTGTCCGCTGAAGCTCGAACCTGGGCCCGAACCAGGCGGTCCGCGCTGCAGCTAGCTGCGCGCTAACGTTAGCTTAGCCACTCTCTCTTTGACACAGATTTCATTCGGATTTCTGTGGATTTTATGCCTTTAAACGCATCAACAAATTATCGGTCTCCCTCAAACTCAACACTCACCGGTTTCTAGCTCAGCACTGGCCCGGCTTTAATTCGGCTCGTGTCCAAGACAACACGAAGCTCTCATTCATGTGACAAGTTGAACTTTTCTGAGGCTACTTCCTGGGTATTTCCCGCAGGTTTCGGAGGGAGGTTGGGGATCCGGCTGGACAGTTTGTAAAAGTTGATTTGTTGGTGGATTGTTTTTCAGCCGAACTGAAGGACAGCTTCTTCAGCTCTGAAAACGTCTCGAGTGACCCTCCACGACTCACTGGCTTAAGTAAGAACATCGACAGAACCTTAAATTAGCGCATCTTGAGGACTCATCTGGTGCGTAAAATCTCGGCGTTAGAGAAAACAAATGGAGCTAGTTGGACTTGCTAACGCTAGTTAAAACATGCTAAGCTAATGCTAGTATCAGACTAGTTATCAGAGGACTGTGATTATTGGCTTTTTCTCTCACTGACGTGTGTTTAGATGAAAGTTGTTCGCTGACGTTTAAACACAACGACGCACTTTTAGAGAAACTTTTCTTTCAGGTCAAAGTTTCACTTTCGGTTATAAATAAACGTTTAAAAATAATCCAGCTGCTGAGATTTAATGTCGGTACATTTAATCCTTGAGCTCCTCCACAGATGGAGCTGCAGCTAGAAATCCAGGACCTCAGGTCGTTATAGTCCACAGAATCAGAACCAGAACCAGCTGTAATGGCCCAGTACAGACACAACATACAAGGAATGTGGTTCTGGCTGTTGGTGTCGCCCTGGAATGAGCAGGGAGAAGAATAGAAATCAAGTGAAATAACTACAGAAGGAAAAAATCCCAATAAAATGAGATAAATACGTAAACAGCAGAACGTCCACCTGCTCAACACGTCAGCGCAGGTAAGCTGCAGGTCGTTATGGCTGAGAGCGGCCCGGCTGTGGTGATGAACTGGTGCTGCTGCTGGATCAATGTTTGATTGGTTCTGTTTGTGTTGAACCGCTGCTCAGCTATCAGGAGGACAGACAGCGAGAAGAAACACAGGAGCAGATGTTGGTTCTGGTGGTTCCCTCAGTGTTTAGAAACAAACCTTTGTCGCTCCAATCAGTGCAAACGTGTTCTGCGGCTCTGATCCAGGTGGGTTCCTCCTGACCAGAGCCTTGCTGGTGTCGTGTCTGCTCTCAGACGGACGTCGCTTCGGATAAAAGCTGCTGATGAGTGAAATGGTGGAACTGTGCAAACAGTGAACGAACGAATGAGACGCGTAGAAGGAGGAGGTTCTGGTGAAATGTCAGAACTTCAGGCTTAGATCAGGTTCTTCCAACATCAGCTCAGGAGCCGTCAGAAAGCTGGAACCAGACCGAGTTCCTGTCTCTAGTTTCTACCTCAGTGTGCAGGTCTTTAAAGATCGAATGTCTCTCAGAGGTTTTACGTCTATTTAGTATGTGAAACTGGAGAATGTTGTTGTTGTTGTTGTTGTTGTTGTTGTTGTTGTTGTTGTTAATCACAGCGTTCAGGTTTCTGACTGAATCTCGTCCTAGTTTCCGTTTGAGAAAAACTGGATGACAAAGAACTGAGCTGAGCTGTACGTGGACCTGATGGATGCGTTCTTGTTTTGCTGCTTTCCTGTGCGTCCCTCCTGCAGACATGAGCGCCTCCCGGCAGCGAGCCAGAGACCTGGTGGGCGTCTACGACCTCAGCCTGGAGCGGCAGATCGTGGGCGGCGGCTGCAGCCTGGCGCTCCGAGACGAGGATCTGTGGCGGCAGGTGGAGGAGCTGCTGAGGGCCGGAGACGCTCAGGAGACCCACTGCCTGGGCCTGGACCCGCTCAGGGTGATGGAGGAGTCCCTGAAGGCAGCAGCGTCCGGCGGGAGGAGGCCCCGGGCCAGAGGAGGGCTCAGGGGCCTGGCCAAGGCCTTCGAGGTGCTGGAACAAGCTGCCCTGAACCTGTACCTGGGCCCCTGGAGGGACGAGTACCGGGTCATCAAGGTGGGAGCAGCAGGTTCACACAGTAGAGTCACAACAAGGTCATTATGTCAGGATGAAAGTCCAAAAGAAACCCGAGTGGAGGAGTTCAGTCCGAGTTGGAGCAGCCTGGACACGAGGACAGCAGCTCATGTTAGGAAAGTGCCACAGACACCTCATCAGCTGTTATTATTATGATTCATTTGTTTTCATTAAACTAGCGACACCTGGAGGAAACCGAAGCTGTCAGCGACACATGAACAGGAATGATTTGTTTTATTCAAATTCAGAATCCTGGAACCAACATGGATTCAAATCACAACCTAAACTGGTGTGTTTACGGCTGCCTGCTGCCCTGAAGCCCGTCGTTCTGCTTCGTTAGTCATTGGATCCATTAGTGATGGATTCGTGTATGTTCGGTGTCCTCGAGTGCCGGGACGGGCGCCTCCAAATGAAATGTAGGATTGTTACGAACAACGTGTAGAACAGTTTCCACGCGTCCTCGGCTGCAGACATGAAGCTGTTTGATTTGGTTTCCTGTCCGCTGTCTGAACGCTGTCAGCAGCTCAGATGAAGGCTTCGGTCTGAGTCGAGCTCCTCGCTGTCACTGAGTCGGAACGTTTACAGAATCAGCTCAGACAGGGAAGCTACATGTGACGTGTAGTGAAGTGGTTTTGGTGAAACTTCAGCAGCTGTTACAGTAAATACAAGATGTGTGTGTGTGTGTGTGTGTGTGTGTGTGTGTGTGTGTGTGTGAGAGGTGAAACCTTACAGCCCTGCAGCCAAACACACACTCTAATGGGCTCAGACTGGAGAGGTTCTGTGGCCTCCAGCGCCACCACCTCTGGGCCTGGACAGCAGAACTCTGGTTGACACTGACCCTGAGGCCTCCACAGCTCACGTCTCCTTGTCTCCCTGCTCAGATGTACTCGGGCCTGTTCACCCACCACATCGCCCCGGTGCTGTCGCCGCCACAGATCCAGAAGCTGTTCGGCCTGCTGGGGTACCAGCTGAACCCGGCCCGGCCCGAGCAGCTCCGCCTGCACCCGGCCAGGACCGGCGCCGGCTCTCTGGACGACCTGCTCCGTCTGTCCTGTGCCTTCTTCGTGGCTCGATGCGAGTGTCGCCTCCTGCTGGCGGCTCTGGGGAAGCACGATGGCGACGTCCAATGGGAGCTGAGCTTAGTGAGGGAGCGGCAGCAAGGCGGCAGCCTGCAGGTAGGACGGCCCGATCAGCGCTATTGATTACCGATCGACCAGGTCGGTAAATGATTTGATGACAATTTAAAGTTAATTTTCTAATGATGCTGACGAAGTGAAAACGAAACGTCTTGAAACTGGAGTTCAACGTGTTTTTCTTTTTTAAGTCCAAGTCGTCCAAGTTTCTATTTACTTAAAGTAAAAACCTCCGTCTGTATTTTATCCGTTATCAGGACGGACAGCCGACGTTTTTTGTTTTCGATAAAAATGTGTTTTTCTTTGATGCAGCTGCGTCTCTCTGTGATTGGCTACACGTCATGAGCAGCAGCCAATCAGCACGCGGTTGTTTATGCAGAGAGACAGACAAGCACGTTAGCAGCTGCTGTGATTGGAGGGCGAGGTATCAAACACGCCCTGTTTGCAGCTGCCCTGAGACCTACCGGAGTAGTTCTCTGTTTCCTGTCAGTGCTAAGCTAAGGCTAGCAGATAGGCTGCAGCAGCTATCTGGAGCAGGGTGACGTCTTTCTAAAGTCAGGTTAGCTTTAATAACCTGCTCTAACTGACAGCACAGCCATCCCCACTAATCAGGACGTACAGCGGCTAATGCTATGCTAACAGATAGCAGCTAAGTTAGCAGGCAGCCACAGATTAAGCAGTAATGCTTTAAGATCAACAGAAGCGACAGAACAGAGAACGATTAAGGAAACAGAAGAACAGCAGACAGATCAAACCGTTATTGATCTCTGTTGATCGATTGGAGGAGAGCGACCTCGTGACTCTGACGTCATCACTGCTGTAGCTATACAGGTGCAGCCTGATTATCGTTACCTGCTAGCATTTATGTATGTTGGTTCCAAATCTGGACGACCAATAACGTGTGAGCTGCTGTGTGCTGCTGCAGGCGGCCCTGGACGCCACCCAGAGGACGCTGGAGGCCGAGCAGCCGCTGATGGAGCCATTTGACCGAGACGTGGACCTGTACCAGGACGAGCAGGTGAACGGGCAGCAGCAGCAGCCGGTCGCCGCTGACGACTGCGGTCCGCACTCCGTCACCTGGACGACCCCCAGCAGCGCGTCGCCGCCTACCGCCGGAACACACAGCAACGGAGCAACGTCGCCGCCGCCGGAGCCAGAGGCCAGCTGGAGCTCGATAGTCAGCCGGAGGCCGAGCAGGAGGCCCGGCCCAGAGTCCAGGTTCGACGCCGCAGACTCTCCGCTGCCGGAGGCCACGGAGGCCGACCAGCTGTGCAGCTGTCTGCAGGCGCCTCATCTGGGTCTGAGGCGCTGCATCGAATGCGACGCCCTGCACGACGCGTCCTGCGCCTCGCTGGAGGTTTGCAGAATGAGCAGCCACAGCGTGACCTTCAGCGGCGAGGCGGCGGGAGCGGCGTCGCCACAGAGGGCGTCGCCCACGGTGATGGCCTCCCTAACGCTGCACGACGAGCCCACAGCACCGAGCCCCGCCCTGCAGCCCATCAGCTACCACGACTGCTGCGACCTCACCAGGCTGAACCCGGAGCTGCTGTGCCGCAGCTGCAGCGTCTTCCACGCCGGCTCCTGCAGGGAGGGCAGCCTCTGCCAGGCCGGCCACGACGTGCAGCCGCTGGGCGTCTGCTCCTGCGGGAGGCTCTGCTCCAGGAGGCCTCTGGTTCTGTGCCGGTACTGTGGAAACGAGTACTGCAACCCCTGCTGGTACCGGAACCCTGTTAGCTGCAGCTGCGGCCAGACGTTCGACCAGTCGACTTCGGTCTGAGCTGCACCTGAACAGTTTTGCACTAAAGAGGCACATTTACAGTCCCAGTGCCTTAAACCTGATCCTGGAGCGCCTGTAGC